GGCAGACTATAGTCCACTGGCCAAATCCAGCCCATGACCTATTTTTGTAAGGCTTCTTGAGCTAGGAATGTGTTTTACAATTTTAAAAGGTGGTTTAAAAAAACTGAAAAAAAAAAAAAAAAGGTTGTTTTAAAAAAATGCAGCAGATTGGGGGCACCTGGGTGGCTCAGTCAGTTAAGCCTCTGACTTCTGCTCAGGTCATGATCTCACCGTTTATGAGTTTGAGCCCTGTGTCAGGCTCTGTGCTGATGGCTCAGAGCCTGGAGCCTGCTTCGGATTCTGTGTCTCCCTCTCTCTGTATCCCTCCCTGACTAGTGCTGTGTCTCTCTCTGTCTCTCAAAAATAAATAAATGTAAAAAAAAAAAAAGCAACAGATTGTATGTGGTCTACCAAACCTAAAATATTTTACAGGAAAACATGTGCTTGACACTGCTATGGATTTAAAGTGTGTATCTTTTATATTGCATGTTGTTGGATATTGACTTTTAAAATTATTATGCTAATCTCTGCCTCTTAGTTGGAGTTTTTAGTCTATAAACATTTGATGTAATTACTAAGTTATGTCTACCATTTTATTATTTGATTTTTTTGTCCTTTCTGTTTTTTAATTTTTTTTTAATGTCTATTTATTTTTGAGAGAGACAGAGACAGAATGCAAGTGGGTTAGGGGCAGAGAGAGAGGGAGACACAGAATCCGAAGCAGGCTCCAGGCTCTGAGCTGTCAGCACAGAGCCCAACGCGGGACTCGAACTCATGAGCTGTGAGATCATGACTTGAGCCAAAGTTTGAGGCTCAACCGACTGAGCCACCCAGGCGCCCAGTCCGTTCTGTTTTTGTTTCTCTGTTCCTCTTTTTCTGCTTTCTTTTAAATTATTTATATATTTTCACAATTCCATTTTAAGTCCTCTCTTGGTTTTTCACTGTACTCTTTACATTATTTTTAGTGGTTGCTCTAGGGATTATAATCTACTACTTAAAATTTCACAAACTACTTAGAATTAATATTTGATATAAGATGTAGAAACATGTGGCTGAAAAAGTCCATTAATATCCATTGCCTTTTATGCTATCTTCATATTGTGCTTACATGCATTATAAATGCCACATGACAATGCTATAACACTTGCTTTAAATAATCATATATGTTGAAGGAAGGGGGGGAAAGTCTCTTAAATTTACCAAATATTTGCCATATCTGACACTCTCCCATCCTTCCTGAAGATCTGAGTTTCCATGAGAGCATTTCTTGTAGTGTAGATCTGCTGGCAGTAGATTGTCTTTATTTTACTTGAAAATTTCTTTATTTCATTTTTATACTTGAGGAACATATCTGAGAATTCTGTGTTGGTGATTGTTTTCTTTCAGTGCTTTACGTTTTTTTTTTTTTTTTTTTTTTTTTTTTTTTTTTTTTTTTTTTTTTTTTTAGGTTTATTTATTTTGAGAGAAAGAGCATGAGTGGGGTAGGGGCAGAGAGAGAGGGGAGAGAGAGAGAATCCCAAGCATGCTCTGCATTGTCCACACAGAGCCCAAGGCAGGGCTTGAATTTATGAACCATGAGATCATGACCTGAGTCAAAACCAAGAGTTGGTTGCTTAAGAGACTGAGTCACCAGGCGCCCCCTTTTAGCGCTAAAAAATGTTGTCTCAGGGGCACCTGGGTGTCTCAGTTGGTTAAGCGTCCGACTCTTGATCTCAGTTCAGGTCTTGATCTCACGGTTGTCAGTTTGAACCCTGCCTTGGGCTCTGCACTGGGCATGGAGCCTACTTAAAAAAAAAAAAAAAATGTTGTTTTGTTGTCTTTTGGCCCCCACAGTTTCTACAAATTTTTAAAATTTTTTTTAATGTTTATTCATTTTTTTGAGAGAGAGCGTGAGTGGGGGAGGGGCAGAGAAAGAGGGAGACACAGAATCTGAAGCAGGATCCAGGCTCTGAGCTGTCAGCACAGAGCCTGATGCAGGGCTCAAACCCATGAACCATGAGATCATGACCTAAGCTGAAGTCAGACGCTTAGCTCACTGAGCCACCCAGGTACCCCTGGCCCCCCAGTTTCTGATGAAAAGTCATTTGTAATTCAAATCATTGTTTCATTGTATGTCACCTGTTACTGCTTTCAAGGTATCTCTTTAATCTCTCCTTTTGAGGAGTTTGACTCCTCAGGTATGGGTTTCTTTGTATGTATTCTGCTTAGTTTTGAGCTTCTTGGAGCCATAAATTGTTCTCTCACCAAACTTGGGAAATTTTTGGCTTTTATTTCTTCAAATACTTGTTCTGCTCCATAGTCTTTCACCTTCCCTCTCCTTCTGGGACTCCAATTACATTTATGTTAAACCTTTTTTTTTATTTTTAACACTTATTTATATTTGCAACACAGAGAGACAGAGCATGAGGAGGGTAGGGGCAGAGAGAGAGGAGACACAGAAGCTGAAGCAGGCTCCAGGATCTGAGCTGTCAGCACAGAGCCCAACGCGGAGCTTGAACTCACAAACCGTGAGATCATGACCTGAGCTGAAGTAGGACGCTTAACCAACAGAGCCCTCAGGTACCCCTGTTAAACCTTTTGATATCGTCCCATAGATCTCTGCAGATCTGTTCATGTAAACACATTCTCTTTTCACTTCAGATTGGATCATTTCTATTGATCTGTCTTCAAGTCACTCTTTGCTCTATTCTGCTATATTAGTTATTTTTTCCAGATATTTTTCAGTTCTATCTAGAATTTCCATCTGATGATTCTTTTTCCTCCTCTTCCCAGTCTTCTCCTCTTTCCCTCCTCCTCCTCCATTCTCTTTTACAATGTGTACTTTTTGCTGAGATTTCCTATCCTGTCATGAATTGGTAACATATTTCCTGTAACCCACAGAGCATAGGTATAAAAGCTTCGTTGAAATTATTCTCTATTAAGTTCAACATCTGTGTCATTATATGTCAGTTTCTGTCAGTTGTCTTTTCCCTGAGAGTAGATCACATTTTCCTAATTCTTTGTTGAATAATTTTGGATTGTGCTCTGGCTAATGCGAATGTTCTTTTTTTAGAGATTCTGAGTTCCCTTATATTCCTCTGAAAAGGATTTTTTTTAAGCAAGCAGTTAACTTGGTTGAGCTTAAATGGAAAACTGTTTAAAAGCCCAAATCTTGGGGCGCCTGGGTGGCTCAGTCAATTAGGCGACCGACTCTTGTTTTGGCTCAGGTCATGATCTCACGGTTTGTGAGTTCAAGTCCCGCATCAGGCTCTGTACTGTGTCAGCACAGAGCCCACTTGGAAGTCTCTCTCCTTCTCCTTCTGTCCCTACCCCACATTCGTGTGTGCTCTCTCTCTCTCTCAAAATAAATAAACTTAAAAAAATTAAAAGCCCAGATCTCACGATAGTTGTTTCATCCTCCATTGAGCTGTCTGCAGTTTGCCCCCTGCCTGCTCGCTTAGGGGTCCGCCGGAGGTTTGCACAGAAGTGGGGCTTCCCGAAACACCCCTGTGGCAGCACTGGAATGGTGCTACTGAATATCCAGCTGCAGGGGAACTGGCAGGGCCAGGTGCAGAGAACATATTTCACTGACAGCTCCAGCTGCCACACCTTTGGATCTATTGTGACCTTCATTCATGTCAAGACCATTTTTGTCATTCCTGCCTGATGCAAGATTTCTATAATGGGCCACTTTTGCTTGAGGACTCCACATTAGCTGGAGCGAGGCTTTCATGGAGGTGCCCTGCAGTCTGGAGCCCATTCTACCCAGTCCTTCCTTCCCTGTCCCCAGCCCCCCACAGGGTTGGACCTGCATCACCCTTCCTCTCCCTTCCTTTGCTCACGTGGCCTTGCTGATTCTAAAGGTTGGTGTGTTGGACATGGAGCCGAGTGAGTGCCTTTACCACAACCATAGTTTATGAAGTCCATCACCAAGGTCACTCACAGTGTGGACAGTTCTCAGAGGGATGGAAGGGAGTTTGGGGTCTGGGCCTCACTCTGGTACCCATCCCAATGGTCAAGTTTCCTTAGAGGGTCTTGTGGTTTCAGGAGCACATGCATGCCTTCTCCTTTGCTATATTGGCCCTGGTGGAACCTTTTACTTAGACATTGAGCTTCTGGCCCAGCACATTTCCAGGAACTCTGGAGACCCTGTTGGTGATTCTGAAGCCAGGGGCTGGGGGTTATAGGTTGGGTCTGTGTGTAGGAGGACGACACAATGGATCACCATGCCCAAACTCAGGGCTGGTTCTGCTTCTTGGGTGTGCGGAAAGAAATTCATTTTATATTTTCTTTTATTAATTTTAATTTTTTAATTTTATTTTAAGTTTATTTCTTTATTTTGAGAGAGAGAGAGGGGCAGAGAGAGAGGATCCCAAGCAGGCTCTGCACTGTCAGTGCAGAGCCCGCCACGGGGCTCAATCTCCCCAAATGTGAGATCATGACCCAAGCCAAAATCAAGCACCAGATGCTTAACTGAGCCACCCAGGTGCCCCAAGAAATGCATGTTAAAAGTCATTTTGAGTCCTCTCTTGTTGGAGAAAACATCCCCCAGCTTCCAAGAGAGTGCCTAGAACATGTCAGGTGCCTTGCAGGAGAAAAATGAGGAACCAGCCCTGGGGCACACAAGGAAGGTGGGTGGGGTCCTGGTCCTCCAGGGGCTCTGGGTCCAAGGGAGAGACCGCGTGGGAGGATGACAACAGAAGTTTAGACAACGGCCTGGGAGATAGATGAGCTGTGGGCAAAGATGCCTCCCCAGACTGGATGACATTTGAGATGTATTCTGAAGAAAATTCAGGAGTTTCTGGGAAAAGAAGAGGGGGAACCACCTTCTATCCCGATGGGGTTTGAGGGGGAAGCTCTTGCCTAGATGGAATCACAGTGATTGTGGCTTTTTCTGTGAGGCAAGGGGATGTGAGCTGTTTGGGGGTGACTGGAACATAATACACGGAAGGACACCTATTTTAAATGAACTCCTTTATTTTTATGACAGCCAATTCTTAATTCATTCAACAAGGATTCATCTGGGTACTTACTATATGCAAGAAATTGGACCAAGCATAAATAGAACAGAAAATAATCATTCCATGTCTCCCAGTAAGAACGAACATCTATCAGTTGTCCTGACTTGCTGTTGCTGAGTGGCGTGCAAGCACTGAGCTAGGCGTAGGCAGAAAGCTACACAGTCCTGCTCTGTGTAGGACGCGTCCCTGCAGTGTATCCACATTGATCAAAGTATGGGATTCACTGAAAACTAGGGAACAAACTGGAAAATGCACCAAAGCTTAGGCTGAACGTGGCCCAACCTGGGCAGCGTTCGGTTTGAAGCCAGTCGGCCTGGGGCCTGAGGGAATTGCCAGGAATCCTGGCAGCCTCAGAGGAGCAGGCTGCCAGCAGTTCTGCCCCAGGGCCGCCTGGTGTGCCTGCCCACCTGGGCAGGCTGGAGTCTGGCTGCTGAGCCCGGTCGCGGGTAGTCGGCCGTCTTCAAGTGAGACGCCCGGGTGGCCACTTAGATGGCCACGCTATTGGGAATCCGGTCTGGGGACAAGTAGTAATATGGCAGCTTCTTGTTCTTGTTGCGCTCAGCAATCACGCTGACGATGGCAGCAAGGTTCTTGCGGAATCGGGCCATGGCCTCTTTTACAGGCTTCTCGATGAAATGCTCTTCTGGGTACATGCCCAGGAATAGCTAAGGGCCCAGACACAGACAGGTTACTCTTTGACAAGGGGGTGTAAACTGACAGGCCTTGCTTGTCTCACCCCCAGAGATGATCCCTTGGAAAGTCAGCAAGGGAGCACCTGCTCATTTCCCCCTCACCACCTGCCCCCTGCTGAGAGTACCCCAAGAATGCTCCTGGGCTGGGGTCTTCAGATGAATGGGCAAAATAACTGCCGTGCTGCAGGGTGGCCACAACAGCTTGTAATGGCGGCAGGTGAATGTGGACGCTGTCGGTGGTCCCAGCTGTGCTGGGAATGTGGCTGTGCAGTCCTGCTTGGCCCTGTTCCTGTGTAGCATCCCTGCCTTCCCATCTGGGCTCCGGGCAGCAGGGGCACAGGGGTTAGCACTAGCCTTTCCAGCCCAGGAGAGCCATGGCCACACCCTGTTGGGGTGCTGTGCTCATTTGTATACTCACGCGGTGACTGCAAACTAAAACTAGGCATATTTAAAAAAAAATTATTGGATTGTTAAAATTGGAAAGTTTCATACCCAGGGCAGAAAAGGGTGGGATTTTAGACTTAGTTTGTGGAGGGCAGATCAATCTCAACGTTCTTTGACCCAGAAATTCCTCTACCAGGAACACATCCTGTGGCCCTACTAAACGTGTGCAAAGACACATATACAAAAAAAAGATGTGAGGGACCAACACATTTGCAAAGTCCCCAGAGCAACCTAAATGCCCCCTAAAATGCCCACAGGGGTGGTTGGAGTGGTAGTCATTCTGTGAAACACTGAGCAAATGCCATGTTTGAGATACTGAGAAACCCAGCTTTGACATTAGGTTAAATAAGGTGTATGTGCATGGGAATGTCTGGAAGGATACCCAGAAACTTCTTAGTCGTTACCTCCGGGGAGTCACCAGTGGAGCAGAGTGCCTGTGCTCTCCTGTCCCTCCCTCACCCTGAGCTCCAACCTGGTGCAGACCTGAGAACCCCCTGGGTACCCCCAGCCCTGGAAGTCAGGACTCCCTGAGAGCAGGCGTCCAGCCTAAGCCCTTAATCACAAAGCCCAGAGAGGGAGAAATGGGTTAACTCTGGGTGACCTGCCCCTAGAAGGGGGGCAGAATGGCATCCAGTGCTCACCTCGTTGTCTTGGAACTGGCTTAGTGCCCACACTGCGCCCAGGTGCCAGCAGGAGCGGCCACGGTCTGGCAGCGTATCCACGATCTGCTCGATGGTGACCACGCCCTTGGTTGTTGGCGGTGGGGCCCGCATGGTTGGGGGGGCATTGGGGATCCAGGAGCACCAGTCATACTGTAGGGACAGCCACAGACACATGGGGGTGCCTCCTCAGCCAGCCACCACCCATCTGTGGCTGGCCCTGCCCCTACCTGCCCAACAGAGCAACTGCCCAGGTGTTTCCCACCCTCCTCCATCTCCTCCTGCTCCAGCAGGACTGGGCCACGGTTCCCCACTCCGGCTGGCATCCTTGGCTTAGTGGGGAGAACACACTCAGGGAACGCGTAGTTTCTGGCCCCGAGGCTGCTGGAGATCAGCCCCAGAAGACTAGGAAGAGAGGCGGCCCTGCCTGGGCCCTTTAGGAGCGGCCAAGGTGACTCTGGCAATTTCCTGCCCAGAGGACTCATCCTGCCTTTGCCTACCTGGCCAAAGTTCACTGCTGCATGCTGGGCAGAGGCTGTGAAGATCACTACTGTCAGGTACTCTGAAAGCTTCTCTCTGGTCTTGATGGACTTGGGGAAGCCTAAGGCAGAGTCAGAGGCTGGTTGGGGAGGGACTGATGACCCACAGGCACCCTCCCCCCAACCCTATCCCAGGACCTGAGCACCCCCACACAAGGGCTTGAGGGGCCCAGGCATGGATAAGACACTCTAAGGGTTGGCCCAGTGTTCCTGATGTTTCTGACCCTGGTTTCAGTGGCTGCAGAGAGTCCCTGAGATGTCCCCATAAGACATATTGGTGGGCAGGGCTCCCTTGGGGGCTCTGGCCCCAGCACCAAGTGCTAAGATGGATGTCATGGGCCATGATCGCCCGAGGAGAGTCAGAGGTGAGGAAAGAGCAGAAGAGACAGCTAGAAGGAGAGCTGGGGGTGGTCTGTACCTGAGGTCTTCTTGCCCCGCATGCCATACACATAAACGTCCTTCACAAAGTCCTGCAGCTCCTGGTCCTCTGCCACCACCTGGTCACTCTTGTAGTAGATGCCTACCACCTCGGCCGTGAACCTGGCTCAGGAGGAGGGCCCAGCTAGGAGTGGGTGACTTGGCCAGGGTTTGCAGGGCTGGGTTCCTGAGCTCAAGGGTAGGGCTACACTGGTGGCCCTGTGACTTATTCCTTAATGTCCAGGCTCAGGTCACTCACCCCCGCCCCCACCCACATACCTTCCTTCCTCTATCAGTACCCTGACAATGGAGCCATCCACTGGCCCGCTGAGTCAGTTGTCAATGCCCTGGTCGTCTTCTCCTCCAGGACACCCCGCTCAGAGTGGGTCCTACAGCCCCAGCGTGCACTCACGTATTGATGGCCTCCCATACCAGGAGCCCATCGTCCCGGTAGAAGTAGTAGGGAATGTCTTCTGTGCTGTCCATTCCCCGAGCTTTGATGGCCTCGGGGAAGCACAGGGAGGTGTAGGTCAGGTCCTGCATGGCCCTCTGCACCATCTGCACGTGTCCACCACCCCCTGTGGCGTTGGCCTTGAGTGGGAGGGAAGAGAGCGCTGTGAGCTGAGGTCAGTCGCCCCTCTTCCTTCTTGCCCAGGGCTCACCGTAAGAAACCATGAGCGGGCACTGGGAGACCAGGCACATGGAGGGGCAAGCCCACATCCTGTGGGTTTAGGAGGTGGGGTAGGAGGGATGCTTAGCTCCGAGAATGCCAAGGGCAGCCCAAAGAGGCGGTTCTAGAAATGCACATCTGCCCGATCTCATGCAAGGGGCTGCAGTGGAGGGGAGTGTGCAGAGACCGGGGGTGGGAGGGAAGCTGTGGGAGGGCGGGGCCTGCTCTGGTTCTGAGC